GGCCGGTTGCTACGTCCATCTTTTATACAGTCTATGGCGTCAATTAGAACTGGAGTAACGACTGTTCGTTCTAGTTTTCAGACACGAAAACTCTGAAAGGGTTGATTAGTATTTACGCAGATTGCATAAACGAAGAAAGACCAGATGACTTTTGGATTGTCTGTTTCAGAAAGTGCTGCAGGAATCCAACGAGCGCGCCTTCTGATACGTACCGAAGCCTTTTGTTTGAAACCGTGTGAAGCTGTTTCGATGCAGCAACTCTCTGACGTCTAAAAAATCCTCGTTTTGTTCGCTTTCAGGCCGTCACAAAATCATCTAGAAGTTTTCTCGGTCGCTAGATTTGCCCCAAAAGTTCCTCACAAGTGGACAGTAAATGGGTGAACAACAAGTTCGGTGTCATAGAAAGAAAACAAAGCAGAATAAAAATACAGTTAACAGCCCGTATTTACATATAAAAATATAGCAAAGTAACATCTAACATATCAGGTCAGAAAAGTCCACACGCATCCACACGTGAAACCATAAACACACACACCTGACACTGTGTGTTTTGTACCAACATCAGAGCCTCCCCTCTGTCCAAAAAATAAAAAAGAAGAAAGTCACGCACATTTAAAATCAAATCTTTCTTTGTTTTTTTTTTGTGCATGTATGATCTCCTCCGCCTGACGTCATGGCAACATCCTCCCTTTCCTCCCCCTGCATCCTTCTCTCTTCCCCTCCCAGCATCCATCCATCCATCCCTCCGTCCGTTCGTCTCTGGCCCATTAAGAGCTATCATGAAGCTAATTGCCTGTTTGATCAACTCTCTGCGGACCCGGAGCTGGAAGCTTTTAGCCGTCTGAGCTTAAGAGGAGAGACGGTCGAGGCAGGAAGGGGGGAATAATACGCCTTGTGTCAGCGAAACCTTTCTCTGGTCGGGTTGTTTTGTTATAATCTTCTTTTTTTGTGTGTGTGTGTGCTGATTTCAAAAGAGAGATCTTGTTGAGAAAGTATTGGGGAGCTTGGGTTTGATTTGAGGATGGACGAGTGGATTAATGAGGAGGAAGGAGGAGGAGGAAGGAGGTCGGTCAGAGGAGGGAGGCTGGCGACAGACTGACTTGGGGAGGAAACCCGACCAGACCCTCAGAGCTCCACCGAAGCAGCGCTGCTAAAAATAAAGAAGACCGGGGAGGCTTCTTCTGCTGACAAAACAACAACAACACACACACACACACACACACACAGGTTGTCGTACAGTAGGAGGACACACACACAGACACACACACACGCACGCTGCCTAATCACAATAGATGCATCCTCCCTCCGGTTAAATAATCCCTCGTTCAGCTGGAGGCTGCCGGGGAAACGCTGTCCGTCTACCTCACAGTGCTTTTCCTTTACAAATGAGCTTAATAGCATTGAACAGTGCATGGTCCCTTAGTTTTTGGTGTCAGACTCTTTTTTTTTTTCTTTGTTCTCGCTTGTGTCCCAGTCACCTCAGTGCAACGTCGGTTTCTTCATTCACTCATCGTCTCTGCTCTGAGTGTCACAGTTTCAACCTCAGTCCTCAGAACCTGTTGGCGTCTTCCCTTCCTGGTCCGGTCCATCTCCCCTCTCTGTGCTTTGTCGTGTGAAGGCGGGGAGGAAGGAGGCTCAACAATAAATAAATAGATTTTAACAGATTGCACCACAGAACGCAGAGAGAGGCGATTTCTGTCTGGAAGTCCTGGTTAAGGTTGAAGGGCGGTGCAGCAAAGCACGACAGCTTCTTCGTCTTCTTCAAGATGAGTCTTTGTTTGTAGGCGTTAAGTCTCCAACGTGAACAGGCACAGTAAAGCTTTGGTCCCTCCTGAGCTGGAGAAGAAGTAAATTCAAGGTACGTTAGGTGAACAACACTTCACGGTTGGTTGGTTGGCTTGTCGTATGTAGGTAGGTGGGTCACGATGGCACTGTCGTCACAATGTCAGCTGTGGCACTGCTAATCGGCGACAGCGTTGCTTTGGCCACGGCTGAGGGGGGATCTGGATCTACCTGGCCCTCGTTCAAGCCTGTCATAACGGCTTCTCCAGAGCTTTGCTGCGGAGCGAAGGGTGGCAGGGGTTGGGGTTGGAGGCGGAGATCTTGCGGCACACGGTGTTGGTGTTGCTGCACCGGCAGCCGGGTCGCGTGGCCCGGTCGTGGGCGCACTGACACAGGGCAAGGCACAGCCTGGCAGGGGGGTAGCAGCAGAGGCAGGGCAGGCAGAGCGCCAGCAGCCCCATGGTGCTCCAGCGGGCGCAGGCGTGGGCCGGAGCGCAGGAGCACGGCCGGTCGGCGCAGTTGTCCTCGTCATCCTGGGCGGAGCAGTGGTAGAACAAGCCCTTGACGCAGCACAAGCAGGTACCGTACTCCACGGCGCTCTCGGCGGAGCACAGGCAGCGCTGACCGCAGGCCCAGCAGGACGGCAGGCGGCGAGGAGCGCAGCACTCGTGGCATTTGCAGCGACCGCAACGCTCACAGATGAACTGATGGAGACCGAGCTCGGCCTCGTCTCCCGCCAGGCGTTTACCCAAGGAAGTGTCGGGCTTGAGTTCCCCTTTAGGCTGAGAATGGACCACCGAGCCGAGGCCGGAGTGAGACGGAGTCAAACCCACCAGTAGCCGCTGGTCTGAGGTGGCACTGGTCCGAGACATGGAAGAGCTTATGGTACTGGAACGGCTCAGGTGCGACAGGTGAGCGTGCTGCTGCTGACTTTGGCTGCGGGAAAGCGCCGAGGGGTAGGAAGGCTGCGGGTGATGGGCGTATACTCCGTGAGGGTAACGGTCATCGTGGGCATAAAAAAATCCGGTCTGGGACGTCGGTTCCAGCGCCACGGGCCTTTCCACATAGTCATTGTTGGCCCGGATGGCGCGTATCTGGTCGAGCGACAGCACAGAGTCCAGCTCCATCCTCAGGGAATGAGTCGGGTCTATCCTGGCGAGCCACCCGGGGGGCACCGGGACTGGAAGCCGGGGCCGAGGCGAGGGGCTCCCAACGCTCACGGCACATCAGATAAACCTGCAAACACAGAGAACGGCAGCCATCAGTGGTGCTGAAGTTAACATGGAGTCATTCAGTTATCAATGTAGCACCGTCAACCAGCAATGGATGAACTGATGACACAAACTGAGCACAGCGGACATTTGTCTTGTGCTGATTCTGCTGTTTTGATCAACAGACTCATGGTTTGGTCTGTTAAACATGCTGCTAGAATCCAGGAACACAAACTAGTCGGTCCTGGTTTGTCTTAAAACCATGAGTTCTGTCCGGAGGTCACTGATTGTCACAGCAGTCGTTGTCATGGTGCCCCTTGTTAGCCAAACCCCTATAAAGCTCTCTGCTCTCCATCTGAACTTCTGGTAGTCTGAGTGACGCCTCCTCTGGTCTTTACAGTATTAAACAGTAACCAGGTACTACAACTGATCTTCAAAGCATTTTCCGACATGCATGTAGAGAATACAGGTTGTGGAGCTTGTATAGCCACAGTAGACACTACCATCTCCACGCTACAGTCCAGACAGTGTCCCAACAAGGTTCTTGACCACCTATGTAAACAGCTTGGGTGCAGAAATGCATATACACTGGACTGATTTAGATAGCTTTAATGCATGTGAAGTGTGTAAAATCAAGGTAAATGTATCGACAGACACAAAATATAAGGTTATAGCTTTGACTTATTTACCAAAATTCCATCCAAAGCCATCAGTCCTACACCACATCTGTAGCCATGCTAGAACATGTATAGTTTTGATTACCATTAGTAAGTCTTTTCAGTTAATTTTCTGTCAGTCATCCATGTCAGACAGGAAAACACCTTCTCCTGGCTCTGCTTTCATGCACTTTAAAATTCCACTCCAGTTCTAACAGTTCTCAGATGAGAGCGTGTGCATGTACGCGTCTACTTTTGATCGTCTCTGGTCTCAATGCCGCAAAGATACGAGAACATTTCAGGGAGAAAAAAATAATTGCGTTCCCCATTTAATGCTCTGTTAGCAAAAACCCACGGAAGCAATAAAAGTCGTGCTAAATTCACAGACATGCAGCGCGTAAACACTGATCTACCACTTTGAATTTAACCAACGGCTCAGCAGAGGAGTTCGGAGCGTCAACAACTTTGGCATCTGACCACAAAGCAGTTGATTTGTGTTGTTTGCTCTGTTCTTGGACTTTTTCCCTCTGAAGTGCAATGGAGCGAGAAGAACCTCTGTCACTTAAAATAACCAAAAAAAAACGGACCGTTCTGGCTCAATCATTGGCAGAGAGTCAGCACTGGATCACATGAAGCAAACAGTAGCCTGCGTATTGGCTCCAAATACTTAAGCAGCACTTGATCAAAGATGGATGTTGGCAGCAGAGCCTCCACACAACCAGCAGCCATGTCATCATGACCGCCGAGGCTCTCCGCCGCTCGGGCTAACGCTATTATTAGCCTGCCACAGCCGGAGAGATGCGACCCTGAGGCCCACACTGTAATTTAGCATCTGTTGAGCCCAGCTGCTGCTGCCACGGAGGAATCCCACCTGCAGCTCCGGCAAAGTGTCGACTCAGGCTGAAGGCACAGGTTTAAATCCACTTTTTTTTTTGTGTCTGCGTCGACAGATTCCCCCTCAGAGCGGATGACATGTACCTGCTGAGGTTTCCCAGCTCTGATCACGGAGACGGGCTCATGTTGGTTGAGGAAAAGATGTCTTATTTCGGAAAACCACTTGGTAAAAATAAAGTTTCGGTCTGTGGTTCCAACCGAGCAGCGACCGCAGCTAAATGCTGAAGAGTCGCTTTACACAGATTCTTCAATAGCGACCGACGTCTGTAAAAAAGAAACCGTCCGTTTTCATGCAACAACTTCTTTGTGAACTACTTTCTGCACATGTGGGCTTTTACAGGGTTTTTGTTTTTTTTTACAGTTTATTATTGTAATTTATTGTAGTTTTAATGTCTGACTGACTGCAGTAGAACACGAGGTTTCCTGTTTAGTATCGTGACTATTATTCTGTGTTCACACACGGCTGCCATTGTAGTCAACATGAGCTTCAACATACAACTTAAATAAGAGTCCAAGAGAACAGAAACCTTCAGGTTTAATATTTAAAAATCATCTACTGCTCAGATATATCAAACAATAAAGGATCAAGGACAAGGCAAGCTAGCTTTTATTAAATATGTTTAGAAACCAATGAAAAATGGTTTAATTTAGCATAAACAAAATAAGAAAATTATGTTGTTAAAGAAAAAAAGTGGACATTATTTACATTGTTTTGATTATTTTTTTAGATTAAAATGTAGATTAAGACGTTTTCTCTGATTTTATTGGATGTTATGTGTAATTTAACTGAACAGAGAAAATCTGTAAAGACCTAAAGAATGATCTACATTTTTTTTTTATCCTTAACATACATCATTTTTCTTTTAAATAACGACAAATATCTGTAAAATAGTGAGTACAGTAAATATATATATATATATGTATAATAATGAAAAAGAGAAAAAGATGTAAATTAACAGTAATTTGCAAAAAAAAAAACTGCAAATTTTTATTTTTTTTTTTGAAAAATCCTAACTCATAAGACAGTCAATTAATACTTTTTCTGTGATTTCACTTTACAGGGAAACATGATAACAGTAAGCCACAGCTAAAAAAAAAAATAAAAATTACCACATTTCAGGATTTAATATAACGAAATATTCTTTCAAATAACATCTGCAAAATATTTTTTAAAATCTGTCAAACAAGTTAAAATTTTTACTAATTTAAAATAAAGTAATATGTAAATTAATTCTTATTTAATTTTATTAGCTGTTTGACAATCCGTAAAATGACTCAATACAATAAAAATAAATACATTGTAAAAATTATCATTGGAAAAATTAGCTGCGACACTAAATAGCAGGAGTGTGTAAAGCCAAAAAAACACGATTTAAGGTGTGCATGTGTGAAAATTAAAGGTGGAGGAAGACTCATCGTAACGCTGAGTAAGACTGCAGCTAAACGCTTAAAAGGTAAAGTCGCAGGAAACACACGAGCAAATGACGCTGAACTGAATAAAAGCTCTGAATCTAAACGAACATGCAGCCGAGTTGATTCTCAGACGGAGGCAGAAAGAAAAACAGAACCTCGATACAGCAGCTCCACGTCTGTTCTGGTTCTCTGTAGCTGTGTGTTTGATTAAAGGCGACACAAACAGAAACACGCTGAACAACGAGGTCGGATGGAAACGCGTCTAAAGCAGCTCTGATGGTGCGATCAGATGGAGGAGGTACCGGAGAACGGCAGCAGATCAGCTACTGGGGCCTCGTCCAGTCAAGAAAACATGTTCCGTTAACGTACGGAGGATTTTCTGTTCCTTCTGAAGAGACGTGTTTCCTCCTTCTTCTCCCTGTTCTGCGTTAGAACTAGCCTCTGTTGTGGGTACAAAGTAAACCGTCCTCGTAGTTACGGCGTCGGTTTCCTTCCACCAAAGTTCTCTCCGTTTTTTTTTCTCATCAGAACGTCAGAATCGAGGGCGTGCGTCTGAAAAACTTCGTAACCTTTGGAAACCAACAATCGCAGCCAATTTACGCCACGCCGGATTATTTCTCTGTGTTCTGGAAACGTTCCGAGAAAGTTCTGCAAAGTTCTAGTGATGTTTTCACTATGGGGTTCTCTTTTAGTTCCCAGAACGTTCCTCCTAAAAGCACGATAATTAAAGATGTTCTAAAAACGTTTGGTGACAGCATTGCCAGACAGATACACTAACATCCTCCCAACCGAATGTTGCACTGAGAACGTTCTTCCGTAGTTGTTGTGTAACATTATGGAACTTTGTGTGAACATTTTAGAGATAATACGTGTTCCCCAATAACGTCTCCAAAATGTCCTCAGAACATTAAAGGCAGAATGTTCCACATGTGGTAACATATCGCAGTACAGGAACGTCATTCGGAAAAGGTTATTTCGAATGTTGCACTGAGAACGTCCTTCATATGTTGTCATTGTGGGAACGTTCTATAATGTGTTCCCTCTTCACAAAGACAAAACATTCCATCATCAACATATCACATCACAGGAATGGTGCAGAACGTTCTGTATGAAAAAAACATGTTCTGCCATCCGGGTCCTTGGTAACATCTGGAGAACGTTGCTTGAATTTTGGTCTGAGAACGTTTCTCCTTTGTTATCATGGAACACTGTAAGAATGTTTACTGGAAACATGTTCTGTGCTGTGTTTCTCAGCAACATCCTCAGAACGTTGTAGATAGAACGTTCTGTCAACATTCTGTCATCTGATGCCTTGATAACATCTAGAAAAGGTTATTTTAAATGTTGCATTGACAACGTTCTCCCTTCGTTGTCGTTGTGGAAACGTCTTACAGTAGAACGTTCTATAATGTGTTCCTGTGAAGTTAGGAACGAAGGAACATTCTCAAGCCAACATTCAAACAATGTTTTCCAGATGTTGTCAAGGCCTCCGATGACAGAACGATTTTTTATACAGAACATTTTTCTAACTCTGCTGCAGTGTGACAGAATAACGGTTTTTGCCTTGATGTTGAGGGAACGTTCTTCTATTAGATGTTTATAAAAACGTTCTGCAAAGTCGTGAGCCGCTGTGACTCCACAAACATGCAAATTAGGAATTAAAATTTAAATTGTTCCACCGTATTTGGGCAGAGAATTTGGTAAAAATGTGTCATATTGTCACAAAACAGTCTCACTGTAGGTTAATTAATGATCCATCTGAGGTTATTAGCTGTAGAAATCAATCAAAGTTTCCAGCCGACTCCCTCAGAACCAGCTTTAAGAACATTTTTAGGTCCTCGAAACTTTTACATTTGCGACATTTTTTCCAGCATTTTTGACTCATAACTCATTTTTGACGCACGAAACTTGAAAAACAGACTTGAGTTCAACCAAAATCTTGTTTTTTTGTTCATTTCTTTCCCGTATGACCGACTTTGAGCATTGATGCTGTGTGATATGGGATATGTGATGGTTTCACCAACAAAACTGCAGCATTTTAACGTCTGTTCCATAAAGCGTT